TGTCCCACACACCCACTGAGACACATAAAGTACTCGGGTTTGTAAAAACGCTCTTCTGAAGAGACAAAACAGAGTCACACAGATGTTTCTGTTTGCGCTTTGGGTTGGCTCGATGTCACTCAACCTGTCTGACAACATTGTTTTTTTCTCGTTTGTGTCCTGCAGYCGTTTCCTTCGACACAAACTGTCCAACAAACTGTGGCATCTTTAAAACAAGTCAGCARTGAAAGGATGCACCTATAAATCTGCTTACTGATATTTTAACATCAAAACAACCTGACTAACTAATATTAAAGTTGGACAGAGATCTGTTCTCAAGTATACATGCAACTATGTATAAGTGTTCAACTGGTTTAAATCTTTAATAATTCACAATAACATTTCATTTAGTCTAAAAATATATATGTTTTTTCCCCTTTCAGGCTCAAACCCACAGAGTTTACATCTTACCTGGCTGGTTCTGTGTAGCAGCTCAGGTGTCAACCTCCAAACAAATGCTTCTCTGTCAGCTTGGACAGAAATATTTACAGCTAAAAGATGAATTTCTGTCCCCTCCTTCAGTTTTCATTGTTCCCGGCTGGTCCAACATGTACAGGTAAATCCACAGGCAGACACATTTCCACTTGAGATAAGAACAGTTTGACAAGTACAGTTTCTGCTGTGCTGTAATCTCTCACCTGTCTTTCCTCTTCTGCCACTCGCCCACGTTGGCCACGCCCTCCCCAACTCTGTTTCCTTATGCTTMCCACATGCACTCAGCCTGTCACTGGTTTTACTGAATGGATGCACGTCTGTGGGAGTTTGTCAGAGTGAAAAGCGTGGCTTGGTTGAGAGGCTGTAACATTTGTTTGGTGTAATTAATTTTTGCAGACGGCTCATTGAGCTATCATGATCAGATAAAACGGATGAACTTGTGTTTGAAGTCATCTGCAGCAGTTAATTAAGAAAAAATGAAACTTTGGATGAGTTTGAGCATTGTTTATACAGCGGGTAAAATAAGTATTGAACACGTCACCATTTTTCTCAGTAAATATATTACTAGAGGTACTAATGACATGAAATTTTCACCAGATGTCGGTAAAGAAATCAAACCATAAATGTCCAGAAATGAAGTTTTTTGTAATAATGTGGAATGGCACAGGGAAAAAGTATTGAAC